AGTGTCCAGAAGTGTGAAATCCCGAAACGACTAAATCCCTTGGAGTCCGAAACTGTCAAACCGATTTCGAAGGTCTGAGCTGTATGAATATACTTGACTTATCCTCGTATCCTTAAAAAACATTCGTTTAAGGGATGCGTGATGAAGTCTTATGATGAATGTGCTCATATTCTCCAGAAATTTACGAGTAGGAAATCCGATAGAGGATTTAAAGCGATTTGGGCATCGAAATAAGGATGGCGATGAAGGGAGGAGCAGGATAACACTGAGAAAACATAAATACAAGAACGACTTCCCCACAAACATGTGTCGGAAGCAGCGTAAATATAAAGACTGTTTTGCTCATGCGAACATGGGCACAATTTACGGAAGGATGGTGGTACCAATGTCGCTGTCAAATGTGTGGGTCAGCTGTAAGTCAGAAGTTAACGGTGGTATGATTGAAATTTTATTTGGCATATTCAACACCGTCACCGAAGATATATTGTCCACACACATAAATTCAAGGAATAAATAATCAAATATTTCCATCTGATGTTACCACTAGGTTCTTTCAACTATTGGGACTACTGGAGGAAGCACTAGGTCATAATGGAAGGGAGAAAGTAGTGATCAATGCGGCAACGGTGATTTACAATCAGAAGCATTTCTTGCAGATTGTTTGGAGCTTTCATCCGCCCAACTAACGTGAGGTGGACAGTTTAGACTGCGTGCAATGTATGGTCCCACCCATTTATACGAAGTCAATATCTCGCTGCACGGGTTATGATCTAGCCTTCTTATTTAGTTAGCCCGGTATTGTCGATATTTATTGATCATACTCTTTTCCCTGTCCATATTCATATAGAGAACAAAAATGTTGACCTTAATTGTCCCGAGGACTTGAAATGGGGAAAATGGATGTGTTTACTGGTGATATTAATTGAAAAACTAGTCAATCGTACTAATCTTCAATGAAATTTCTGTCTTCTTAGGGCAAATTAGACTTCAGAAATACAGCATTTAAAGAAAAATCGATTGCTTTCCATGGACTCGCCTCCAAACCCCGAGGTGCTTCCCGTCCCAACTTCACTGCGTGACCGTTCTTGTGGTGTGCATACAATTATACTCCAGTTTCAACAGAATTTTGCCCAGAAAACGACGAAACGTTCCTTTTCGGGTATGGATAAATTCGCGGAACTGTGCGGACGAAATGCGCGTGGCAACTGTCGTATGTCTTAGGTAAAATACCCCATAGATTTTTTATCGGCGAATCACTTTTGAGTCTTACGCCAATAAATTTTTAAAGGGATCCATTATGCCTTTATTTTTTATAACTGTTGCATTTTAGGGGCAACTTCCCTTTAAAAAAAATGCAAAGTAGAGTGAACCTTTAGGGTGTCGTTTACCAAGCACCTCGGCGGGGACAGGCTCATGGTTTTAGGGTTGCACACGACTATTGTTGGTGTAGGTAATTGCAGGTTTGCTGGTTTCGTATTTACCGTTTTGCTTATTGCCACAGTAAATTCGAAGTCGTGCGTTCCACAACTCCGAAAATTTAATATGGCTGTTTCTGAAGGTGACGTCCGTGCTCGGCTTGAGGCGCTGGAACCAGAACATGTAGAAATCAAGGACTTTTCTGACGGTTGTGGTTTAAAGTTTGATGTCTTGATTGTCTCGGATCAATTTGAGGGTAAACCACTGCTCCAACGTCACAGGTATATGTAATGTTTTTCTCAACGCCCACTGCAGGCTTGTTAATAATTTGCTCAAAAAGGAAATGGAGTCAATTCACGCCTTGACGCTGAACACGCTTACAAAAAAGCAGTGGGAAGAAAAACAGGCCGCTTCTAAAAGTTAATCTGTTGAATGAATCTTCCGAGTATATCCGTTTTCTTCCCAACTTAGTACCCATGCATGTGGGGCGTAGCTATTATAATAGTTGGTCATAACCGGATGTAGAAGACCAGAAACAAACGACTGATTCCATTGT